GAAAGAATTTCCGTCAATATCCGGGATGTACTTTGAGTTGAACTGTTCGGCCAATTTGATTCCCTTGGTTGGCTTAAAGTAGTGGCCAGTGTAGTTGCATTTACCGTTCTGCGGTGGTGAGCAGCTAAGATCCGTGAAGCTGACGTTGGACCATGTGTTGATCCATGCGCCCAGCTTGCGGTCCTTTTGCGCTTGCAAGTTATAATCCTCGCCTGGCAACGCAAAATTATCTGCCTTCTCTCCCTTCTCGACACGTGCAACTGTCGTGCCGTTGTTCATGGCGACAAATCGATGGCGCTGGAAACCTCGCCAATTGTGTGGCGTATTCTTGCCTCCTGTTGCGACGCCCCGCCAGATGGCCTTGTTTTGTTTCTCCGCCCATTCGACACCATGGTTATCGCCGCCAGTGAAGCGCTCTTCCTCATTCCAGTACATGGGAGCCGGGAGCAGGATTTCGTTGTTGACTCCCAACTTGGAGCCACCAAACATGGGGAACAAGACCTTGGAGGCTGATGTAGAAAGCGGCTCGATAAAGATGCCCTCCAAGGCCTGCAGATCTGGCTGATGGCAAATCTCCGTAGACAGTGTAAAGTTGGAGACGAAACCCTTGTACATGTGGGGTTCGGCGTATGTCAAATTGATCGAAGGCGTCTTATCGGCAGTTTTTACGAGGCCCTCCACCTGGGAAGCACTATCGGGGGCACAGCCACGTCGAGCAATAGCCCAGTAAGGTTCTAGTTTAAAAAAGCCTTGTCAGTAACTTCCTGCAAGAATAATATAGAAAAAAGAAACCAAAAACAAAGCAAAGGAAAAAAATCATTCGCTATTGAGTTGAGAAGATCGCGACATGACGAGTTTTACTTACGTGTTTTTTCCCAGTTCTTGCTGCGCGTTTTGACGTCGGGGTCACCTGTGCCGGGGCGAGGCAGCTGCTGGAATTCGCGAATGACGTCTTTGGACTTGGGAATCTTGATTGTCTTGGAAGCGTTCTTCATATAGCCGGCCATGTCCTCCCAGGGAACAACCAGGCGGGGCTCATCCATGGCATTCAGCGCGATGTCCATGTCAGGCAACAAGTGGTCGATTGTCTTGATCATTTTGAGCCAAATCTTGGTCCAGAAGAAATCGCTTCGAGCAGTGGCATTGCCGTCTCGGATGTTGATTGTCATTTCATAGTCCCACGACTCCTTGCGGATAACGGCAGGATCGAGGCCCCAAAAGGGCTGGAGGTCTTGGTAAATTCGATCAAAGAAATCCTCAACGATGATTGCGTTCTTGGAGCGAGCAAACTCGTACCACTTCTCGAAGCCGGGCGGCGGGTGGCGGCCACGGCGCTTGCGATAGGCCTTGGCAGCCTCTCCGACGGTTCTGGATTCTTTCGAAAGAAGCTCAGCAAAGGTCATCTGGGCGTCATAGACCAGCTTGTCGATGGGGTGGCCGCCGCTGGTAGGAGGAGCGCCGATGGGGAAGGCATCTTGGATGGGCTTCCGGCCAGGGGAATTCGGATTCGTGGCATCTTGCGATGGTGATGCCGGCGCCGTGAAGAGAGGTGTCTTTGCGCCTCCCACCGGCGCAGGGCCATTGTAGTTTGGCGCAGGATTCGACAGCGGGCGGTTTGGCGTGGTCTGCTCAAATGAGGGCGGCAGACGGGAAATATCTGGCGAGCTGGGGCTGAAGGTGTACAAGGCCAGCAGAAAGATGGCCGCTAAGACACCGTACCGCACGAGGCCGGAGGGCCGCCGCATGGGAAATCCGGGCGTCAGCAGCTTGACCATGGCGATGTTGCGTGGCGATTCGAGACGTCGCGGGTCTGCCAGAGGCGTGGAGGTTGTCGCAGCAAACGATGCTCCAGCTATGCAATGCTTGAACAGTCCTTAAAACAAAAACGGGGCGTCGGAAGTTGTTCGCTAAGAAATGAAATAGCGTCGGCCGCGTGTTGCTGGGGTTTGGTGTTCCCGCGTATGCGTATATGAGACGTAAGTGATGACGGAGGGGCAGGTCTATCCAAGAGAAATTGAGCGCTCAGCGCATCCGGGCGCGCCAAGGAAATTCTGCTTTTTAAGGCTTCTTAAGGCTTCTGATAACGAGCGACTCGGCTTGGTCCCGAGGGACGTCGGACTGGTGTACGGACAGGCAAATCAAGGACTGTGGCGAGCACAGCACAGGGAGACGTCGAGGAGCCGTCGCGGGCAATCAAGGGCAGGCAGGCTTGGTGAGATTCGATGCTTGGAAGTCGCTACAGATGCCGCATCATCGTCTGGAGAGCCGTGAGGAGAACGAGCAGCCGCGCAGCCCAGAAGCAGAGCGAAAGAGATTGAAGAGCCAGAAGTCTAATTTCGCAGCGCTGCCCGGAGGCGGCCAAATGAGCTGGGCAGACGCTTGCGGCAAGATTGGCCACATTGGCCACTGATTCGCTGCGTCGCGATCAAGTAAACCCGCTGCCAAGACGCCGTCAGCGCCCACAAGCTCTGTAACCCCTGGCACGATTACGCTGCTAGTGATTGCGCGGGGGGGGGCCCTCAGCGTGGCACCGGCTCTCTTCAGTGGCCTGGGCTCAAGCGCGATAAGGCTACCCGCCATTGCCTAGCCGAGCGATGCTAATGAAACACGACGATGCTGGATGGATGCATCGATAGCTCGAGGCTCGAGTGCTTTGATGGCCAGGCTCGATACGTCGATGCTGACGCTCTGATGCTGCTTGAGACGAGACAGCCTCAGTGGCCACGGAGCATGTGCAGGCAGGCAATTAAAATTAAGCTATCGGGGCTAATGGTGCCCTGAACCCGGCTAATCTTGTCCCTCCAATGCATCAATCCTTCTCCCATTGGTACGGCCCAATATCATGAGCCCGAACTCTACCAACACCTATAGAGCCGATCCTATCGCTATTCTTGCTCCCTTTCGTCATTTTGCCTTCTGGAAGAGGAGAAGCAGATACTTACAGATGGTTTCTCCTCCCTCTCGCGACAACCCCGTTTGCCAAGGCCTTTTCTGAATAACATTTCAGCGATGCTCTCGCTAAATGAGTCGGCGATCACTCCTCTTCTAGCCCCAGCTCGACTATTGCGAGCTCCACCAGGCCTGGCCCCCTGGTGTTGTCGTGACATGCTAAATACTTCACTGGAGACTTTTTGGTGGGTTGCGCAGCGAGCACGCAAGCCGGTTGTGGACCGTATTTATTCAATAGATGCTGTACGTCGAGTAAGTTGAAGTTGGCCAAGGCATCAATTCTCCAATCAATGCCACAAGTAAGCTGAGTGCACATATTATAAAAAAAACAAGCCGTCGCACTGCAGGTAATCTCAATATCAGACTAGAGATACACACATCCAACACAGGAGTTGAGACTATTGGCGTTTAGGGCCGACGGAGGTTTTTTTTTTCTTCTCTCTTTTTCTTCTTAGGTTCGTCCAACATCAACGCGCCTTTTTTCCTCTTCCGATTTGCCGCTATCCGCCGACCGAGTCAGCCGTGGAATTTCTCGCAAGGAAGACCTTGTACATATATTGAGCGAGTGGCAGATCAACAACTGATGTGAGACCAGTACTATATCATTCGGACTATACTTGTAGATTAATACTCGTTCGTGCGAAATACGTAATTTTCCCGTCCACATGTGATTTTAAGCCGCCCTCCTCCCCACCTTTTGGCTTTGCCATAAGTGGCTCGATTAGTAGAATTTTCCCAACGGGGCAATCCATGTGCAGCAGACTAATCGGCGATTGCATTCAATTCATTCTGCCTACAGGATACAGTAGGTACTAACTGGAAATGGCCGCATATGTGGAAGTGCGAGCATGCTCTCGGTGAAGAACCTCGACTCGCTCTCGCCTGTAACTCGGATACAGCGAATTCGCGAACCAACTCGTCAAAATAAGCAAATAATAAACTCGCTGCAAGACAGATCTGCCGCCGCTCTCGTGACACAAGCTCGATTGCCCGGTTCCCAGTAGCGCAAAAGAAGTGCCGAGCGCAATTTTGCATTGACTCAAGGCGAGGTTCGATTTGGCAGGTCCTGGGACGCTTGCAGCGCTCAATTGGAATGCCAGCAGCCTAATGGGGACAGGCTTTAGCGATTGATTTCCAGGTTTCATTTGATGTCTGGTTGTGTCGTCATCAGCTCCGATAAAGGCCCCTGTCAATCGCTGCTTATCGAAATGCCATGACCTTGGCGCGTCTTGGGGATTCCCGATTGGTAACAGCCTATGACCATGGGGTCAGACAATACATCCGAGTGGGTATCATGGATATCATGGTGTTGCACGAATAGAAATTTGTCTCGTGCGAGCCTTGAATAGCTCATACTGTACATGGTCTTGAGACATCGGAAGATATCTCAAGCTGCTATACATTGTTTGACTCGTACAAGTATAGGTAGCAGGCGACAAAAATTAGTCCCAGAGCCAGTATGCAGCAGTTTGCGATCGCCTAATCACTGCCATGGCAGCTGTGACAAATCCCAGACTGCATGTATTGGGGGCTTCATTCGTTGTTACCCACGCAGCTATATGCGGGCCGTATGAAAGCCTTGGGCTGTTGTCTCCTAATAGGTCAGGTGCAGGTAAATCTTGCTGCTTGTCTTCCTAGCCAGAGCCCCAAATGTTACGCCGCAACTGAGTCGGGTTAACTACTACGTCACATGCTATTCTCAAGTGTATGACAAAGTTCAACGTTAATGGTTCTTGGAATGGATTTCCCAATGACAGCGCCTTCTGATCCATAGCCGCCAACATCACCAGAAATTTATACTTCTTCCAATTTCATCAGCACAGATCAAAGGGTCTATACAGGAACGAGCACGAGGAGGCCTATGTTTAGAGTGTCTGAGAAAAGTTTGAGATGATTCATCATAATGCAGTTTCTTAAGCTTGGAAGTTTAGGCCAGTTATATGGTGTAGATTCTAAAGACAAATGCTATAGTAAACCAGGCTGAACAGACAAGGCACACGCAATAGTCTAATATGAAATGAACAAGTTTATCCATCAAAGTGAATATTAAATCATTCATCAAAAAATTGCGGAACATTATCCCACGAATTGAACAAACTCGAAACAGTGCTTTTATTTCCAGTAGCAACAATATCGAACGGAACCGTTCCTGCGGCAGATGCAGCCTTCCAACTACCAGTGTATAGAGTGTGATTGGTTCCTGGAACCTTGCTCAAAGGCTTCATCGACACTTTGCTTTGAGTCCACGGGCTGATTGGTGCAGTAAGGTTTACAGGCACATTAATGATAAGCGAGATATCAGAGAAGTCTTCAGCATTCAAGACCTAAAAGGTAAATTATTAGTCATTTGTCTTGAGAGCGTCAGAGTGAATATGCAATAGACCTACCAAAGCGGTCACATTCAGCTGGTTATAGACGACGTTATCAACAACGGACTCGGTCTGGTTAGACAAGCTAAACAATGGTTGAAGGGCATCTGAAAAAGGGAATCCAGAGCCTCCATTGTCGAATTGCGAAGTTTTCCCAGCGGCGTCGTTTTGAATCTCAATGGTAAAAGACGATATGCCATCTTCAGCTGAAATTGTTGTGTTGAACATGTAGAAAATGAAATCTGGACCACAATTGGGATAATCACAACCACCACTCATCCCTTTCTTCGTGGTTGCAGTGGCCACTGGTAGAAGTTTGCCAGAGCGCGATTTGGGGTGGATGAAGACTTGACTCTTATTGGCATCAGCTGTAGTATTGGCGATCTATTTCAAGCTGTTAGCATTTTCTGGGAAAGACCTCTTGGCGTTCGTGATATGTGAACATTTCTATACGTACCCTAATAAAGCCATTCACATACAGCGTTCCATCAGCATTAGGAGTAATAAAGAGGTTTCTGGGCTTGACGGCGATAGGTTTAATGATGTCCGTTAGCTTTACGCTGCGAGGCACGGTGTTGATCATGCGCTCCAGCATAGTGGTACATGTGCTAAGAAAGTAATCGTTGGAATCTGCTAGCTGAGAGATGACTTTGCCCCCGTCTGCGTTGAAAATACGGAAATCCGATCGTGTTGTTTCGTTTTGACCAAACGCAAGTGGGTTTTGAGTGTTATTGGCGACAAATTCCTTGGCACTGGAAGAAAACAGGCATGAGTTGGTTGTTTCTTAGAGGGAGAACAAGAATAGTAGCACTTACACCTTATTGTCGAAATCGTTATTTGTTGTATCAAAGGTCACCATATTGTCGGTCTAGAAGAATGAAACTTAGTCAGTATGTTTATCCAAGCTTCATGGGCTGCCTATTCGCAGGTCATGGAAATGGTTATACTGACGCCTGTGTTGGGAGGATTGGGGACAATTTCCGGAAAGTCCACTCCATGAACACCTCCAATGGAATGCCCACAGGCAACCAGTTGAATCATCTCAGTCACATCAAAGCCCTGCCTAGCAAAACTTGCCGTATGTGAAGCAAGATCTTCTTGTGGCTGCGGGACGCCCGATGGACCTGGACCAGCTGCATCAACGCGGCCGCCCCTGTAGGGGATGATGACTTTTCCATTCGAGCATGAACCGACTGCAATCACCGCGGCCATCGCGAATAAATCAGACATCGATGATCGAGGAGAGTGGACGGCACTGAAAAAGCCAAAAGTTTCCGAAAATGCTTTTCCAGGATTCTCAGGACGATCCGTTTCGAACAGAATAGAAGCGTCCAGACCGCCGGTTCCAGCATTCACATCTGCCGTAGCCATGTCATGGTAGGCAGTTCTCAGCCATTCGGCGCCGAAATTGCGCTCTCCGCCTTGGGGGCCGTCTCCAAACCCAGAACAGCCTGAGACAAATGAGGCCAGGTCGCTGCCAGGCTGGCCAAAAATACTGTCTTGTTCGAATAATATCCTCTCGAGCTCGTCGATTTCTTCATTTGGCCACACATAATTAGCGTTTGCTGGATGCCAGAGGTAACTGCTGAGAGCAGAGTAGAGGATGGCTCGAGTCCAGGCCATGATGATGGCGATTTAGTTTTGATGCCGGATATCTAGCCGAAAGGAACCGTTGAAACGAAAACGACTACTTGAGCTGGCCAGAGACCTATGATCGTCTGGGACTTGTGGGCTTTATAGCTAAGAAGACCGTTAAGCCAGTAAATATATCTTTACGAGCAGGCTATTTACACGCGTACGGAACTGCTACCCGAACACGCAGTCCCCAGACCTGGCATTAGCCTCGTATATGCGGTTGACAAAGAGGGGCTACAGTGGCTATGGATTCGGGGCATTCCTATTCAAGCATCGTGTCACATCGTGTCACTGTACAAGTCTGAATTCGGATTGAACAAAGGAGATGCTAGCGTGGCTGTGTTGAGCCGCATAACTAAATTGAGGAAAATTTTCGGGAAACGTGACATGCCATTGGTTTATGCTACAACTAGTAATTCGGGCCTAAAACATTCGATATGAACCCAGAGTTGAAGACGCGTATACCCTGGGCGTTTAAGCTTACAAGAACGTGCACGCCGTAACTTGTTAAGCTTACAGAGGTGCATATACGACATTAAGGGTGCTCCGTATTGAGTAGGGTCGGGGGGAATTTGGCCAATGAAGTGGTTTTGTTTACAAAACAAATGACACATACCTAGTAATTTCCTAGGTGGGATGGACTTCAAGGGTGTCAGCGACTTCATAAGTTCCTTGACAACTAGCAGACCGACACGACTATAATACAAACTTTATGTAATGTACATAGTGTTTGATATAGGAAAGGCCATTCTCTTAAGAGTCCCACTTGTGTCTTCTCCTGGTTTATCCTTTCAAGCCAATTAGACATATCGCAATGGCTGTCAACCCGTATCTCCAGGGAACTAATGTGCCATACATTGTTAGGCATGTTATAGCGACTTATCACCTATGTCGAGTAATTATAGTAACTGTTGCTTTAGTTGTAGCAACTACGGCTTCATCCCCGCAGCGATAATTATAGTAACTGTTGCTTTAGTTGTAGCAACCATGGCTTCATCCCTGCAGCGATAATTATAGTAACTGTTGCTCTAGCTGTAGCAACCATGGCTTCAGCTACCAGGCGCTCCTGGATGCATCTTTCAAAATGGTGTTCTGTTCTGTTTAGCTTGCCACTCGATAATATGCAACGAGAAATAGTAGCATCTCAGCATTGTTCATAGCCCTGTAAAGGCTCGTTGTCAACTGCCGATTTAGCAGAATTCATTCAACGCTCAGTAATCAATTGGTGCCAGCCGCGCCACCGTGTATGCGTAACCCCGTATGCGTGACCTCGTACATAGAACAGGCAATATTGGCCGAGTTCGGTTCTATTGGGGAAATGGGCGGATTGCATCCAGGGCTTTTTGCAGACAATGTTGAACATGACTCGAAGGCTCAAGGCTTAGTTCATGCAACGTTGGGTTGACACTGCATACCTTGCTATTTATATCAGTAATCCGGGAATAGAATTCCATATTTTACATACTCCCGGCTTAATAAAGCCAAAGTTCTATTCGTTGTAAATTCACTTAACGATACCCACATAAATCCCGAAAACGCCGCCTCCCGGCTGCCGATTCCCACGGAGGCCGCCATAGAAGTCCGAGTAACGATATCCATCTGAGCAATCTTAAGTGGCGGAAAGTACTAACACTAAACTCTATTTACTCCTTTACCTGATACAGCAGGCACTGTAGAGCTGATTATCCAGCGAAAGCGATGGGAAGTAATCACTTCAGCTGCCTAAGTTCTGTCCCGGACCCTTATCATGCGGATCCCGCTTCCGTGAACAACCCCCCAAGGTGGAAGGCATTTCCCCTAGCATAGCCCCGGTATTCGACGTGGCAAATCGGGGCACTTTTGCAGCTGGATGTGAGCAGGGCTTCATGGATACGAGTTTGTATTGTATGTAAGACGACCCTAATTCAGTCAGCTGTCCCAAGCTAAATTGACTGATCTAGAAGTGACTATATAAAACCCTGTTGCTGCATTATTTACTATCCCAAATGACAACAAGCACATTCTTGGCTCTCTAATCTTCCTTTGCTGTCCACGGGCTCAAAGCATCCAAGAATCTGGTGTGCGCTTCAGCATCTCCAGTAACCCTTAGCACTTCCTGATACTCCTCAGTGCCAAGGCGTTTGAAGAAAAGCAGAATACCCGCCCACATCAAATCGGTGTAGCTGACAGTATCGCCCATAAAGTAGGGCCCCGACGAAGACTCGTTCAGCAAAGCCGTAATCTCGCGCGCGAAAGGCTCGCATCGCTCGAATGCTCCTGGGCCCTGCTGCTTTCCGAACTCATCTAGAGGCATGCCGATGTCTTCCTGGCGCGTGGTGAGAAAATACTCAAGGCTCTCTTCGCCGAGAAGTTGCGTCGCTACTCTAGGAACATATATTGGTCCAAGCCTTTCCATAAACTTTATGAGGCTGTCTCTAAATCTAAGCTGAACAGGTGTGTTCAGAGGCAGGCTTGGAACCGGGTACTTCTCCTCGATGAATTCGGCAATTTTGTACGAGTCCATCAGGTAAGAGCCATCAGGCGTTTGTATAGTCGGGACGGTAAATGGGCGTCCTTGTTCGTTCGGGGAGACACTGACATGATAAAACCTCAGTTACAACATGCTCTTATGTTTGTAACTCAGCGTTGACTTACTGCTGGTTGAGTCGAGACCCGATGTGCGGATATTCAACCTGCCAGACGTTAGGGCTTATGGTCCGACCATTGTGACTATGACTCACCCATTCTGTCTTGTAGTCAAGACCCTTGTAATTCAGAAGCAATCGAGCTGCACATTGATTTTAGCATTTATGTGTCTTTTGACTTGAACCTGAATGGGCAGACCTACTCCTCCAAGTATTCATCGACCAACAGACGCGTGGCGCCTTGGTGGGGATATCCAACAGCGTGTAAATGCCCGATGACATATTTCCGACTACCAGTTTAAGAGATTTATGTACATGTATATATGATGCCAAAGTACGACTCTGCCGCTGCGTAACGAAGTGATGCGAAAGAGAAGCAGAGCAAGAGACGAGAGAACTAGCCGAGAAACTCTCATTTGAGCGCACAGCCGTGAATCCATCTACCCACTAGGCCCAATAGACCCATCGCTTAATAGTTCACGCTCTCCCCCGCATGAACCCAAGCGGAGAGCAGCTGTCGCTAAAATCAATCTACAAGTGCTTATAAATAGCATGTTAGTCGATATTAGTAACTGTATCGAGCAACATTGAAAGCAACGAAAGGAGGGGGGATTTGCTAAGGAGAGCGCAGTGCATTATTATAGGCTAATGACCTAAGACACTAAAAGATTATTTCTTCTTAAGGAAGGTGTAGTGCATCGCGTAGCTTAACGATCTAATAGGTTAAATTGTATAGGAGGTTCCATTACTTGCACTCCCGTCACGCCAAAATGATGGCCTTTTCAGACGACAATAAAGAAGCGGGGTCACCCAGGACCCTGAGATGGACTGCGCCTAGTGCAATATCCTCGCCAATTTTCAACAAGCTGGAATAGATAAGTTAACGATTCGATAGTTATTAAAAGCCTGCGGTCCCTTAAAGGCTGCGTTATGCTATTTACAGTATAGCACTATCTAACATTACCTATTTTTAAGAACAGAATATAGTATAACCACCTTAGATTATATTAATCCTTGCCTTAGTTTACAGTAGTAAAAGATTAGCGATAATAGTGAAGTCTAAACCTAGGATATATATTTAAAAAGGATAATATATAATAGTTAGAGACTTAGACCTTAATGGGAATTATTTTTTTGTGAGAAAGCAGCAGAGGTTCCCGAAATCTGCTATAATTATCCTTTAGATGCAGTTCTATCAGCGCCTTTTAATATCATTCTAGGGTGAAAGGTGTTTGTAAAAAGAAGGAAGAGCATTTGGCGCAAATGCCATGACGTCTGACCTGTTTCATACTAGTTCTTGCGAGTCAGAACTGGCGTAGCATTGCCAAGCTAGATGTATTCTAGCGTAGGGCACCGATTGCAAGCAGGCAGCCAAATGTTGGATTTTTCCAACGCTTGCTTCTGCTTGGTCAATTGGCTACGGGACCCTCGCTTGCGTAGATGTAGCAGATGTAGCAGATGCAGTACTTGATAGTAGCCTATATACCTACACATGTAGATGCTGGCTGAAGTGCTAGATAACTTTTTCCTGAAAAAAGTCACTATCAGGTCTCCTACGGCAGATGCGAAGCGTAGAAGCAGACCTAATGCGCGGTCCTCACGATATAGAACGTAGAGACATGCAATGTAGGATCAAAAAGCTTGTCTCCTCTGTAATGATACAGGATCTAAGGCTGCTATACAGATGCGATAATCCTCCGTCCTTCCCTTAGGAATTTCGGGGCAAGCGCCCACCAACAATCACCCAAAAAAAAACCGCGTGAAAAGAATCACTTGTAAAATGTATGGCGGTGCTGTCGCAAGGTTAGTTATTGTGTAACTGGAGAGAAAATCTTTACGCTAGCGGTCCAGTTAGTTATAGTGATTGAATATCGTGAAGCGGAAGTTTCTCTCTCTTAGTACTTCGACCGTCAGTTGTTTCTTTGAAGTCTCATTGATGGTCGACGCTACTGGAATAGACTTTGCGATAACCACTTATATCTCACTGTAACATTTGCTTATAGGCAGGCGTACTATCAGAGCTAACTCGGATGAAGATGCAAGGCTACCTACTTGCGCAGAGTGCTCATGATGTAATTTTCTCAACGCATCGAATCCGGATTCACAAACTGAAAGCAGCACTAGTTTAATGCGCTTGTTACATCTTCAAGCTGATGAGCAAATGTAAACCTATTGATTCAATATTCTCTAACATCAAAACCGTTACTCTTCGTCTGTCTTAAATTATTCCTATCCCACAATTTCTACAACTCACGATTTAAACTGTCTGCATTGGACGGAATCCTCCCGTTGGTTTGATAGCGGACGAGCCACTGAACCTAACGCCATCCTCTTTCTTGTCGAGGTTGTAGACAATGCTATTCCTCCACCGCTGGAACTCAAGAGCAGTTATCTCGGGATAAATGGCAGGCTCTTCGGCAGAGACAAACTTGGGCAGCGGTCCAACAGATGTATCACGCCCAGCCTTGAAGAGATAAGCCATTGACATTCGGGAAGGGATAACCAGTCCTTTTTCCCCTTTCATAGTCTCGGGAACGGTGACCTGGTGCATGCCTCCAACGATCCTTCCGTTGGTCCAGCGGGTCAATGTGTCACCCACATTGATAATCATCTCTGTCGTATCAGTCGGTGGCAAGGGAACAAAGGTGCTACCAGTGGCGTCCGTACGGTCTTCAATTTCCAGGCCGCCAGTGCTATCCTGGAACAGAAGAGTAATTGGGCCGAAATCTGTATGCGGCGCAATACGGGTGTTGCGTCCTGACTGAAGCTCATCCACAGCTATCTCAGGATAGTGAGTAAGTCTCAAGTCGGTAGCGCTGGGGCTGCACCGAGCAACAAGGGATCCATCTTCAATTCCCCACGCAACTTCGAGAGCATGGATCAATGTAAGGCAGACATTGTTGCACTGCTGGTAGAAAGCTTCCATGAATGGCTGGAAGCCGGACATGTTGGATGTTGTGGGCCATTTGTTTGGAAATTCCGTATCATCAGTAGGACCTTGATCAAAATGTTCCTGTTGTGTAAAGCTGTGAGCATGGCGATGAAGGAAGTGTGAAGGGAGCTTTTACTTTTGAATCAGTGAGGATACGGATATTCTCATCATGGTGCAATTTGCCGACTTCTTCCACTCGCCAAGGCGTGTAGCCACGCATAGGCCTTGGTCCGACTTCATTTGGAATCTCATTCTTAGCCTCAAGGCTCTGGTCAAAAAATGATTGTCCCTGGCAAGTTGAAAGTCTCGGTTAGAGCTTGCATGGCAGTAACGGCTGTAGAAATATTCATGAATTGTTTACATACCCAGTGGAATAATTGCTGAAGCTGTGCAGTGCTGAATGTATGGTTGGTCATCTTTGCAAAGCCAGTCCTCTCGAAGCTGCTCAGCAAATCTTCTGCAAATTGCTTGCGCTCCTGGGGAGTGCCTGCGATGAATTTCTCGAAGTCAAGAGTAGTAACAGACATGTTGACGGCTTGAACTATGCAAGAACACTCAAGAGTCGTAACTTGATACACGAGTACTATGGTTGAGTTGCTTCTGATTTGTCGTCCCCAGTCATCATACTTAATTGCTCAAGCGAAATCAATTACCATTTGGCGTTTTATAGATGAAAACCACTTCTACGTCACTATCACCATATAATTTTACTGTTCATGATTATGATTGACGTACAGTTGAAGTACGTAGCCAATGGAATATGCGTTGTATCATCTGCAGTATTGATTCGATCAGTCAGACCACGTATTATTCGCATCAAGGATTTGAACGATCTCACAGTGAGCTGCCCGATCAGGACCGGTTAAATAAACAATTAGTAAATCCCCAAACGATACCATCTCCTATCTCACTGCATTGCCGCAGACAAGACGTCAGATATCAAAGCCGGCGATCTCGATGAATGTACCACGGCATAATCAAAAGCAGTTTACGCAATTCTATCAATCTTCCCGTGGGTGCGCATTAGTCGAGGAATTGTTACCTTGCACATCAATCCAGGTTATCATCTCAAGATAAAAGCTGCTCCTGAGAGCTATCTTTATGCATTGCAATACCAACGCATCTTGTTTACAGTTGACGCTAGTCAAGGATATAATTGCGAGCAGATATCCGAGCACGAAGATGCTTGTGCTGCAGGTATATCGGCAAACTTGCAATCTTTAGACTGTCTACTGCTTACACGCAGGTGCACAACAATACATACACATAGGTACAGTGCAGTATAAGCTGATCAACGTACCTTGCTGCAAGATAAAGCCCAGGAGGTGTAATATCGAAGGCTCAAACAGGAAAAAGCGCCAGAGCCATGTCCTTGTCGCTGGCTGATTATTGATCAAGGCAACCTCATTTCAAAGTCTGGTTGATAATGATGTCACGATATATCCATGGATGATTTATTGACCGGCCCTTAGTTTGTCGAGTTAGCAGTATCAATGGATAGATAACTAAACAGTCACATTGTTCTCAACTTAACCCATGTTCTACGTTTTCTGCGCTGATCATCGCGCCCTTCCCTTGATTTGTATCTTAGATATGCCTATAAATGGCAATACATGTCGCCTTTTAGCTAGTATAACCGGCGCTAAGTTGTCTTGGCCAGATACTATTTGCAGTTTAACCTGCATGATAGTCGCATTAGTACATGGGTTGTCAATTCACGAATTCACGCGATTGCTACCATCGTATTCGCCATATTATTCGGAGGAGATACTCCGCTTACATCTACGCTCATCTGTGCCTGAAGATGCGTATATCTGCCAATCTATTCCATAAACCCGCCATATATCCACAACCGTTCTTCCAACCCCTGCTTCTCCATCTAACGCTATCTGAAGTGTCATTGGGCGGTGGAGCCTGCAAGCCATATCCGCGCATCTACACATGCAAATACGACCTAGTACGCGGAAAGCCGCCAACGTTACAATATCTCGGTGTTGGATGTTATTCATTGCATCATTCTACATTCTACAGAATACGGCCACTTAGGAATCTTTTTGCCTCATTTTACGCTAGCAGCAGTATGCAACGAGACTTTCTTCCCTCAGCCTCTATTACACCAACAACCATCTTGCTTTGTCTTCAACCCAGATCCATGATTTAGGGCCAAAGTATGCCAGGACCAGGAATACGGTCATTCTTGTCGATATAGCTCTCCCAACGCGTCGCGTAACGTCAAAGAATTGTTGAGCATGGCACTGGACGAGAGCAAAGACACTTTACAAACCCCAGGTGAGTCAGGCGCTTTTGTCAAGTAGGTCTGTGTGCGTGTCTCGCTGATCAAATAAATAGAGTCCGCTGTTGCATCTGTCGATGCGACTCGGCTCAACCAAAGGGCGGAAATTGCAGCAAGTGGCACTACAGAAGACTCTCATACCTATCCCGAAGGCGGACGTGATGCCTGGCTGGTAGTGTTTGGGGCATGGTGCGGCCTGACTGCTTCACTGGGCATTTACAACACGTCCGGGGTCTTTGAAGTTGTCATTTCTCAGGTGATTCTTCCCCAAGACTCGGCATCTACCCTCGGCTGGCTATTTTCCACCTACGCCTTTGTCAACTGGATCTTCGGCGTACAAGTAGGGCCTACTTTTGACGCCATTGGCCCACGGCCCCTGATTGCAGCCGGCACTATATGCACTCTGGTTGGCATCTTCACACTAAGCATATGCACGGGTAAGCTCCACGAATCTGTCACCATGCCTACTGGGTGCTAGACTGACAATGCCTGCCATGTGATATTGCAGAATATTACCAGATTCTCCTGTCATTCTCCATCTTGACGGGTATCGGATCTTCCCTCCTCCTGACCCCATCCATGGGCTGCGTCGCTCATTGGTTCATGAAACGTCGTGGCCTCGCAAGTGGCGTAGCTTTCATCGGCGGTGGGTTTGGCGGCGTACTCTTTCCCCTCATGATGCAATCCTTGCTTCCCCAGGTTGGATGGGCGTGGACGGTTCGTATCTTGGGCTTCTTGTTGATGGTTCTCTGTGCCGTCAGCATTGCTTTTTGCCGAAGCCGAATCCCCCCACGAAACGGCAGTGCCACGACTTGGCGAGACACGCTACCCAACTATCGGATCTTCCTTGACGGGACGGGAGCGATGGGGGCTACCACTGCAGGGGTTCTGCTGACAGACTTGGCCTACTTTATTCCCATCGCCTATACGCCGAGCTACTATATTGATCGGCAAGGCCTATCCGCGGAAGAGTCCCTAAATGGTTCAGCCGCTTTTGCGTATCAACTGCTCGCTATTCTTAATGCGGCATCTTGCGTTGGCCGATGTGTGGCTGGCGATCTCGCCGATCGGTTTGGGAGATACAACACCATGATTGTCTCTCTTCTGCTTTGTGCCATTTCCGTCTTGTGTTTGTGGCTGACGGATATCATGGTGCCTGACCTAGAGAGCGACGGGCTTCTCATTGCCTTTGTCATATTGTTTGGCTTTCAAAGCGGTTCAAACGTTAGCTTGACGCCAATCTGTCTCGGCCAGCTCTGTGATACGGAAGATTACGGGCGATATTACGCAAGCTGCTTCACAGTAGTCGCGTTTGGTGTGTTGGCAAGCCTACCAATAGCCGGCAGCTTGCTTAGTGCGACTGGAGCAAGTGGGAAAGAAAAGTACTGGGGAGCTGCCGTGTTTACCGGGTTGAGTTACGTGGCTGCCCTTCTTTGCTTTGTATGGGTAAGGGTCAAGCTCAAGGGCTGGTCATGGAGGATCAAGTGGTGATTGTCGCTAAACTCGCCTCGTTGTATCAGCTTAATTCTGACATTAAGTTGTTGCCAAGGAAGATGAGAGAATCTAGACCAGGAGCGGAGTTTTGTTATACTAATCGTAAATATTATATGATATGTATCTAATACATGCCTAGCATAATCATGATACTGCATTAGTATATCACCTAAAGCGGGTAAATAGCGAAAGTAGAGAGGTTATCTGCCAGATCTTGGCCATCTTAGAGACATGGTCTAACTAATCATGTTCGGTTAATATCTCATCATTCACAGAGCCGTATTCAGGCAAAGATCATGGCTTCTTGTTGAACAAATGCGCGGAGTAGACACCCCTAGACTTGTGCCCAGGGCGAAGAGTAAGCCAAATTCTCCGAGTCCGTATGATATAGGCGACGTTTTATTTGAACGCTAGAATCTACGACGTCATTGAAGAGTAACGAAAGGCCTCAATGGGGGTAAGATTTTGAGCTCTCGGTGCAACGTTTAGTGATTGTTTTCACAATGTCCGCATTATCCACCGTCCTGCTACGCATATCCTCTCCTGAAGTAGTCGTTAGCAACAGACTCACGAGGCCGTTGAAAACATTCCTTTGTCGTGCTTTATCGGTTTATTCATGCAGCACGCCTTTCTACAATTGTTTAGAGCTAATCAAAGCAGACAGGGCATCTATCACGCAAGTAAATATTGAAGAAAACAGATGAGAGAATATGGTTCTATAGGTAAGCCTTCTCTCAAGATAACTAAATTGTATAAGAACCCTTCGGCCTTTCTCTGTTTAAGTCGTAGCAAAGGGAGAATATTCAACGCCATAAATCGTCTTTTCAGAGTCCTTCTAAACTCCTGGAAAACTTGCTTATCTTATTGTCGCAACTCAATCACAACTGTTGAGGTCTCAAAGATTACCCTCAATATGATGACCGAAGTTCAAACACCGGACATGTATCTTGCCCAAGCTCGCGCTTGTGGTAGTGTGCAGGATTGCATGAGCATCTACGACAAATGGGCTGCTACTTATAATGACGAAGTTATGGATAAAGCTCAAGAATATGTCGCTCCCAGCATCGTTGCTCAAGTTGCTCTCCGGGTGTCAGACAACTTTGCCCAGAGTGCCATCTTGGATGCCGGCTGCGGTACTGGCTTAGTCGGCCAAGCTCTGAGCTTGGCAGGAGCAAAGATCATAGATGGACTTGATCTATCATCTGCTATGCTCAAAATTGCAAACGAGACTGGAGTCTATCGAAGTCTGTCCCAGGCAGACTTGACCCAACCTGTGCAAAAGGATGATGAAATCTATGATCTTGTTACATGTGTTGGTACATTCACAAACGGCCACGTTGGTCCTGATCCTGCTATCAGAGAATTTGCCCGCTTGACCAAGAAGCATGGGACGATCATTGTTACTGTTTTGGAGGAGTTCTGGGAGGCGGCCAAATTCAGCGCCGAAGTTGAGAAATTGGTAGCCGAGAAGCTGGTAGTGGTTGTTGCAAAGGAGCTCATCGATTACGTCAAAGGCCACGGCGACAAGGCAATGCTAGTCATCCTGAAAAAAGAGTGATGAGAGAGAGTATATATTAAATTTTTGTGTCTCAACTCATTGATCTTTGTACATGTAGAGAAGAGAACTTGCTCGTGTGCTTAGTTTAAATCCTGGCGGCTTTGGCCTTGCGTGGCTTCCGAGCAACAAATTAGCCACTTATCCAATCACACTTTTCAAATTACGCTATTGTATTGCACACTCAGCGTGAGCACAATGATGCATTTGCGAGTCTTCAATGACTGAAACTTGGTGAGAGCTTATACTGAAGTTGAAACAGAGGTGCCGAATTGAGAAGGTGCGCATCTTAATCATGATTTAGCTTTTCCACTAACCTTTAGCGTAATCTGGACCGCTAATACCCGCGCTCCGCAAATCTGAGATTTTAGCTAGCGATGTGTTGATAGTGGCGCTCTGAGGTATGACGTATGTACAGGATAAGGAGAACAAAGACAACGAGGAAGAAAAGAATAAGTCCAGCTTACATGAAGATATGCGGTATTTATGAGTATTTATGAGTGTACAGTGAATGATGCCATACCCTTGTTGTTTGTAGTGCATTTACATGCACAAGGGACAAATAGCTAGACCAAGTTTGCTCGGCCGGATCAAGCTCAGTTACATCCACAGCATATAGATGCATATAATTTGGTTAACCCGTTACTCCGTAATTCCAGAAGTATTAGACACCCATAAATAATGTATATAGTCCATGCATACTTGTGCTTTTCTCCGAGTAATTAGTTGAATTGTTCTTCAGATTGTAGGCGTGGCCAACAGCGGCCTTATAAGAGCTATCAATGGCTTTTTAGCGAAATTGACTTTTTCAACACCAAGTGCATTGAGATGCATGTTTCATTAACACCAAGAATTGAGTAGCTAATATTACTGCATAATCATGTTTTTAGTTGTTTGAGAAGTACATAAGCCGGAATTATACCTGTATATATGATAAGAAAAGAAATATGTAAGGGGGAGGTCATGTGCATTAGCTCTTGTTTAAGTTTAAGGCTTATAACTGCGGCACGATTGCCAGACCGCTATCTCTCTTTTATTTCTCTCCTTCGTCATCATCAAAATCCTCAAACGTGATAGAGCTGGGCAAGTATTTGTACAGTACTTTCGGTCGTTGTTCTCATTCACATCTCCATATTACGCGTACGGAGGGAGTGAGAGATTGGGTATATTAGCGCGACAGAATCCGTAAGATCTTTCCGGATATCACATCAACTAGGTACTCATTCTACTGGTTTAGATCCGCCTTCTTTGATCTGAAATTCACAATGGGCGACGCCGCCAACACCAACGGGAGCAATGAGGCCGGTATTAGCGATGCAGCTTTATACGATTTGAGGAGAGCCAAGAAAAGGCTGGACACTCTCGCTGACAAGCCCAAGTGGGATCTCACCGACACGGCGGATTTCGATTGCATGCACTACTTAGGCGACGCTGCCTTGGAAAAAGCATGCCGAACATTGGGCATGGAACGTGGACAGACAGTCGTCGATATCGGCTCGGGCTTCAGCGCCACCGGCCGCTACTTGAACAAGCGGTGCGGCGTTGATGTCACGGGTATCGAGCTTCAGCCCGAAATTCACCAACTCGCCGAGAAGATCACCGAGCGAAACGGTCTCGCGGCAGGTGTACGCTCAGTCAATGCGGATTTTACAACGCTGACGCTGGACACACCGGTGGACTACATCATCTCGTTTCTATGCATTCTACACATCCCTGACAGGGACACGCTGTTCCAGAAAGCAGCCAGCACCCTGAAGCCAGGAGGAAAACTCTACATTGAGGATTATTTTGCTCGAACGGCGCTCAGCAAAGAGGTTGGCGACCAATTGCGTGACATCGTGTCTTGTCCTTACCTACCGAGTCGTGATCAGTACATATCGGACCTGGAAAAAGCAGGATTTCGTGATGTTCAGTTTGAAGAAGTGACAGAAGAATGGGCCAAGTTCGTGCACGAACGGGCAGTCAGTAACCGACAGAAAGGGACAAGCGAGGCGCCACTTACTTTATTTTACGACACAATTGATGGATTGTTTGCTGGCCGTGAGCTGGGAGGGGTGTGTCTCACGGCTACCAAAGTATGATACAATCCAGTATGTACCATCATATTTCTAATAGACTATTCTGAAGTACCAGCTCGCTACTTCAGCATCACATGACAATTAATTATTACCACATAATTATAGCAGTAATTCGTCGTCCTTGTACCATTTACAAAAACACACGTCAAACACTAATTGCATGTAGCTTGTGTAACACCCACACGTCACAGTTGATGCAACACTAGTTTTCATAGAGAGTTAGATAACAACGAGATCTATTGGCAACGATGGCTCTGGGAGAGAGGATTCCAGTTACTTTTCGGCAACCGAATTTTGGGTGGAAGCTGTTTAATTGTTGTATTGGTTGCCTAGGCACTGAAGGCTTGGTGGATAGGCATTTTGTTGCTCCGCACAAACATACCCGTAGAATGGCCACCGACAAAGTGAATGCGGCCAATTGTGAAGCGAAAGCAGCCAGGTACCCCACGGCAAGAGAAAGTAACATTGCTGCTATCTGCCTGACAGAAAAAAACCGGGAAAGGGAGAGAAACGCGCTCAACGCACAGCAGGACAAGAAGTGCAAAAAACGAAGGACAACCCCCGGCGGGACTCGAACCCGCGATTAACCGATATCGGTAGAGCTAAATATTGGTACCGGAGAGCTAGCCTAATTGAACTTAGAGAGAAAACAAGCATGCTTATCCACACCACCAAGAGACCCGCCTATTTCCAGCCCCAACCACAGGATAAAAAGAGCAAAAACAGAAGAAAAACCCCCGGCGGGGATCGAACCCGCAATCTCAAGATTAGAAGTCTTGCGCCTTAGCCATTAGGCCACGGGGGCGGTATTAGCAAGTTGCTAAAGGCTTGTTGTGAACGGTGGTGGTTAAAGTCATATAATCGTGACTCCGCAACTGGGTTCTCAACATTGAAACGTCCGCAACTTCAATTCTACTCCCTACAACTTTAGACTCTTATTCAACGTCGTGTATTACATCTAGTTTAACCGGCTACAAGTCTCTTTGATGAGAATCAAGTTGGCGCCAGTATCAGGCTCACTTGTCTAACACATGATGTAGACCTCCTTGGCTGCTTTTTGAAGTTGGCTATCGGACAAGTTAGCCAACCTAGCCATGCTGGCCGTATCTTGCAATGTTCCCGCCCCGCTATCAACTACAAGCCGCAATGGGGTAGCTTCATGTAATGTTTTTATGCCATCTCTTTGAATCCATCTCGCATACACCATCATACCAACCGCTGTAGACGCTGCAATGGTTAGACCAAGCAAGCTGGCAAGGAGCAGCGCCGGAACATAGGTGATGTGGTAAAACTGCTGCGTTACTGCTCCCGTCACATTGTAAAAGTATTCCGGCCGGTCGCGGGAAGAGTTCATTGCAGCGACATTGAACAGAATGCTCTGAGAACGACCTGATGCGAGCACAAAGTTGGCGGCAAATGTCGAAAAGTTGATTGATGGACATGCCGCAAGTTCCCAGGCAGCAATCTCAATTTCACAGGCTAGACCACCTCTAATCGCAGGCGCGATACCAGGGATCGTGCCTGCTTCCGCCATGGCGTGATAGTTTAGCACGACCTGCCAGTCGCCGATAAAAGATCGTTGTGGACTCTTAGAAAGCTGGAATTGTGACCCAGACAACTCCCATGTTTGGCCAGCCGAGCGTGTATAGTTGACAAGTCCCTCTTGGCGAAGGAGAGAGCAATGCAGAGAGTATGTGGTCACAGTGCCGTAAACCGAGGTGAGGTTCAATACTACTGGCTCAATCTCACCGTACTGCGTTAAAACACTGTAATTCCAGGTGTTTGTGTGCATATAGCCTAGAACTGCCTGTTGATAATTGGGCGAGAAGAGAACAATTGCCAGTTCCGTAGTGTATTTCGATTTGATATCCTCTGCAACACCGGGGTACCAGTAGGACATCTGAGCAGTATTATTTAATGAAGAGAGCGTTCCGAGCATTTGAACAGCATCTTCACCCATTTGCGTAGGGTACAAAGAACCAGGAAGAAGCAATGCGGGTTCACAGATCGCACTCAAGCGAAATGCAGGTATATCATAGAGCGCCACCACTGACGGGTCTAAGTCGACTAACGAGCTGTCTGTCGCGTTGACGACAACATAACCTCCTTCAGAATCAAGAGTTGATGAATTGGATGTCGCCATCTGATTCAAGAGACTCGTAAGCCGCTCAGAGATACTGGCTTGTTGTTGTAAGTTCAATTTGAAACTGGCCTGAGGTCCAAGGACTTCCGGCCGGGGTATTAAAAGATCATCAGAGGTGCGTGTTTTAGAATCAATCTCCATGTCGTTAAGAGTTCTCAGCTTATACTTGACGTTAGATAGAATAATCTCCGTGTAAGCCTCATAAGCGATGATATTAGATAAAGTTGTCCAGGAGAACGCAGATGACAAAGCAAGCAGTATTAGACAATACAGTCGCCACATCCGCCCTCGCCGTAGGGAAAGAAAATCCTTCACATTGTAGCTCCCTGTAGACATACCACTGGCTGTCACCCAGGTCGCCAGGGGTATTCTTCGTTGCTGCTCTTGCGGCTTGCCTCGAGACGCGCGGATGGCCAGACGCGCAGAGCTAAACCAAACAAAGTTCAAGGCAGTCATCAGGGCTGGAGCCAGAAGTCCACTGTAGACAATATCGATGCCCTTTGCGATACTTTGAGAAAAGCGGCCGCCAATCACTATGCCAGCAAATGACCCAAAAAGCTTAACTTTCGGTGCTGTAATCACAAACCAGGCAATCAAGCCAATCAGAGGTATGACAAGCGTTAATAATAGTATCAGCAGGTTTATACAATGGAAGGTGTCTCCAGAAGGCTTCTGTGCCGTGTCGAAAGGGGGATCTGTGCGAGTACAGCTGCTTGCTCGTTTTGCTAGGGGGCCGAGAGTTTCACGCGAAACGGGCTCGATCCCGGCTTTTTCCCTAGAAAGTGAATGAGGCAGCAATCTGCAGCCGTCTTCCCTTGAGCCGCGCCTTTCGAGATTGAAAACTTGAGTAAGAGGCGAATAATCCGCCGCTGGGAGATTGGTTGGCTCCATAATGGGCTCTTTCAACGCTCAATGCTAGGATGCTACATTCTAACAGCCCGGTGCGCATTCAGCGGATCAGGGGTATATATACCTAGGCAGGTAGTGTGCTGTAAAAGAGATACTATAAATAACTTAATGGTCACAACGTTTAATCTACGAGCTGTGTATCCTTGATGAAGAAAATGAGGGGTTCATAATGTTACTCGTATATAAGTTATCTGCTTCTCTCCATAATTAGAGCAATCTTGCTATGAGGTGGCTACAATCTTACGGGGACTGGTGTGAATTGGTTACTCTACCTACTTGTATCTCCACCAAACCATTGTACAGCATAAGTCCAGCGGTTAAAAATATATATGAGTGACCGCCCTGTACTACAACCAAAATAACGCAAGAAAGCAACAAGCGAATGAGAAGTTCGTCCCTGATCTGATTTTGAGTAGCAAAAGTGATACATGCACCGAATAGCATTTAATTTTACTACCTGACTCAACTACATGCACCTAGGTAGTAAATGGCAGTGGTATATCTTCCCTTGAGCTCTAAAATTTAACTCCTTTAATAGGGGAGACATTATCCAGTACCCTAATTCTATTATCCAGCCCTCTAGCTTAGGCGTAGGCTGCTGCTAGTATTATTTATATTATTACTACTAACTACTATTACTATTAACTACTATTATTACTACTGCTACTGCTGCTGCTGCTGCTGCTGCTGCTATTATTACTACTGCTACTGCTACTACTACTACTGCTACTACTGCTACTACTGCTACTACTGCTACTACTGCTACTACTGCTACTACTGCTACTACTGCTACTACTGCTACTACTGCTACTACTGCTATTACTGCTATTACTGCTATTACTGCTATTACTACTATTGAAAAGTAGATGGGGCTAAATGAGCGAATTTATGCACTTTATTTCGTGCGGTAAGTGATCAATTTCTATCTCTATTCCACTAATAATTTGAAACAGGCAGTGACACCAATAATATCCCAATCTGGGAGAAGGATAATACTGTTATACAACCACGTAACGAAACCATCCCGCCTCAGGCTGAGAATAACACCCCCCAATCACGTGATGACACCCAGCAGTATGATGGGATATATTAACGACGCTATATATAACGCCTCTATATATAATGTCACTGAATCTTCTGCATGTGATATTCCTGCTGCGCAGCCACGAGACTACTCTACCTATGTGTATCACAACTGCAAGCGCGTAGGACATATCAAACGAGATTAAAAAATTGTACTTTGTTGAGGAAGGTGCGGTGCCTCCTGTAGCTTATTGATGCGAAGGGCTAAAAACTTCTGAAGAAGAGGAAAACGGATCTTCCTTGTCTCTTCAAGTCTATCGGTTTCGTTCAAGTGGCGCAAGATACGAGAAATACACTGTACTAGGATACACTGAATGAATACGAGTCATATGATGCAGCTCGGCGGGGAATACAGCAATTTTATGGCCAGGTGGGCGCGATATTGCAGCAGATTTAGTATGCTTGGCTCAAATGTTGAGTTTGTCCTACCAGATGATAGCTATGTGTAACTGAGGGGTCGAGCTTCTGCCATAGAATAGCTAAGAACTACCGAAGCTATTAAAGGGAGACATTACACTTGCCCTTTGAGCTATGCCCAAATCACAACGAAGGGGGAGGACCGGCGAATTTATACCTGTGCCATGATGCTGTCTTACGTACCCCTATCCACTAACTGGATGCCAGAGTTTGATGAAGCACAAAGCCCAACAAATGCTTCTCTGCGCCACAAACAGAAACGCGTAACCACCGTAACTTATCTACCCCATTTAAAGGTCATATGGCGCCCCGCGAGAGTATATCAGCCAGCCAACGAAACTTACCGCCAAGTCTAGGCAGCAGCATCCTGAGGCTATCGCCACCCAGTAGGACGACACGATCACTCAGAATTTCTCTCGCATGTTGACTCATCCATGAAAATCAGTCGTAACAGCAAAATAAAGGAAATATTAACGGCGCGCCATGCGATGTTCGGGTCTCAAGCACTAATGGGAGGTGAGCACGTTTAGGGCCATGAACCTTTCCCAAATGTAGGCTCAGATCGTAAGCCTTGAATGTATCTATGCTTAACACGTAGGAGCTTCCTCATGTAGTTTACAAATGGGAAATTTATATATTATTGTGTTTATTCTCAGCCTAGTATCAAATCGACATCCTCCGTGTCATGTTGATCCCACCTATTCTTTTTTACAAGACCGCAGCCTTTCCGGTACGCTATGCTATCATCCCATTCAATCAAAAGAACTCCATAATAATGCTTATATGTGAGTTTTTCAAGCGAGCTCTGGTCACGTTCGGAACTACTGCCATTCGATAACAAACGTTCGCAGACCACCACAAGTTCAACATATTGAAGATTAGGCAACGCCTCATCCTCTTGCGGGAGCTGGATCCAGCCACAAACCCGATTATGCGCGTCTAATATCTCAAGGTGATAATCCCAGCAGCCATCGTCCATCGCATATTTCGCTTTTCGCTTAGACCGGAACCAGCCCCGCTTTGTCTTGCACGATATAAATGTGCCTTGCTTTATTTGACCGGATGTGTGAATGCTTGACTTTTGGGCAACTGGGAACGGGCGCCAGTATAAAGAGTTCGGGAATTCTCGGTGGTAGTAAATGAAATCTCCAGTGATACCGTACGGAAGAGTACGCGCGTCTTCAGTATCCGGGCCTTGGGCACCGGGATATTTTTTCCTTATCCAACCCTCGGGAAGGCTTTCAGGGTGGGCAGTGCTCTGATGAGGTTCGAACCAAGAAGAATAAATCCGATGTTTCTTGGTACCTGTCGGCTTATCATGGCAGTACCATTGTGTAGTCGGTATCGTGACCCATTTCTGCGATTTTGAGACCTTGTAGTCTTCTTCATCCTCCAATAGATTCAAATGGCCACCGTTCCATCCAATCCAAGACCAAGAAGGCAATTCAGAATCTGGAAGAAGCGAATGAGCTCTAATGGAACGTTGTCGCCTTCCTACTGTTGTCTTTGCATGCCTACTAAGAATATTGTACCCGAATGTATGATGCCACAGCAGAGCTGCTTCGAAGCACATAACAGGTAATCCAAAGAGGAAGCCACCATGAAAAGAAGAGTTCAAAAGTCTAAGAAGACCTACTATCCCAGGTAAAGTGTCTTCGGGGTAGGTCATCTCTCGATTATTATATACGCGGAGCAGCCCGCTTAGTTTCTTGAAATCAGGCCATCTTCTCAAAGCATAAGAGAACTGCGATATTTCGTCACCTGAATTGTGAAGTTGAGCATTCTTAGCGTGGAGATCCTCGTGGTGTGTCTCGCAGTTGCAAATCCAATGAATTTGCTGCTGCCCAAAGATAAGGCGTCTTCGGGATAGAGCATACTCTTGAAAAGTCCAGCCCCGTTGGAAGTATTCGGATTGAAGTTTAGAACCATCCAGAATAGGTAAGTCTCTCACCACAATGACTCGATTGTTAGTCCAAGGGAACATATTAGTTAAATTTCGGGGTACAGGGCCGCCATTGATTCCAGGGAGCCCCGCCATTCCATCGCCGTCAGATGCAATTATAGTCAGCTTGGAAGAAGCGTAGATTGCTCCCATACATTGAAGTTGATGTGCGACATGATCTTTATCTTCATGTCTGATGCATATTGTGTTAACCCATAAGTAACGCTTATTGATGCTTTGGACGACCTGTTGTCACGACCTAACACTTATGGTCGCGACAATGGGCCTATAGGGTAAGCAGAACCGGATTAACTTAGGACCGGGTAACTAATTAAAGCCGGATTAAGAATTAACTTCTCAATCCACTATAAGATTAATAAAATAAATAATAATCCTTAAATAAATTAAGGAATATTCCCTTAATCCTATTTAAACTAACTGGATATATAAGTTTACTTCTTTACACTTATTTAAATAACTTAAATAGCTAATTATTAACATAAAATTAAAATTATAATACACTCTACACTGCTTACTATTTAGTAATATTTATTATTACTATTTATATTACCTAAAGATCTCTTAATTACTTTACTAATATAAACCTAGAACTAAACTCTAGGTTTATCCCTTAGGAAGCCCTTATATTACTAACTATTTAATATATAGTTTATTATATATTAATAACTTTTGTTTAAATAGCTACTAGACTTATAGGTAATATTAATAAAATAAGTTATATAAACTTTTAAGACTTAGTTAATAAAATGGATTACTCCAATAAGGAAGAATAAGTACCTTAGTTTAATAATCTAAACTATTTAGTTAATTAACTTATAGCCTTAAAAGTAATAATCTAAGGAATAGTAACTTAGCGCATAAAAAACTAATAAACTATTACTAACCTTTAAAGAGAAATTATATAACTTTAAACTTAATAAAATAATCTATTAGTTATATAATTACTTATAATACTAAGAGTATTACCTATAGTAGCTTTAATACTATACCTAGGAGGTAACCTAAAACCTAAACTTAAGAAGACCCTAAGGGTAAAATAACCCAGTAAGTTTAATAAAGATACCACTAAACTTTATAAATTTTAGTATAATTTATACATATACTTTAAATATTATTACTTAATTACCTTCTTAGTAAATAAAACTAAATAAAGAATTTATTTTATAGAAACCTAAATAAAAGATACTGCTATAGATTAGTTTACCTTAATCCTTAAGGATAAATAAAAACCCTATAATTAATAAATATAACTTATTAAAAATATATTTATTAGCTATAAGGAGTTTAAAAGACAATTAAAAAAATCCTTTAGAATTATTAATAAAGCCTAAGAAACTAAAAAAAAGCTTAGGGACTTTAAATAAAAGGGCCTATATTATAAACACACTTTAACCTTTATTTAACTACTTACTAAAGTTAATTAAACTAAGGAATTAAAGAAGGAAATATATTATTATAGCTTAAAGCTAAAAGTTAAAAATAAAATTTATAAAATAAATTAATAAGCTATTAGCTTTAC